GAGAAGCACTGAAGTCGAGTTGCGCACTCATTTGAGCTCAGCAAAAGCGCATCTATTTGGCTGTGCGAAGCGAGCGTGGTACCACTATTCCACCAAGGCACGCTGTAGGCCTTGGTGGCAAGCCAGTCACACCACTCAAGCGTGAACACATTCATCTGTTTGCCCCAGCTAACATGCGCCTCACCTGTCAAATGTCCGGAGTTCAAACCCAGGCACCAACAAGGATATGCATGCTGATGAGCCCTAATACAAGCGAGACTTGAGTCGCGTTCTTTTCCCACCAGAAAAACTGTGCCAGGACAGGAGATGAGCTGTTCAGACGAGAATCGAGTGTTAGTTGCTGTTCTGAAAGACAGGTGGCGAGAAATCAAGCAGCATGTCAGCCACACACCACTTACTATTGTATTAAAACGATCCACGGAAACTCTGAGGTGTAACTGCTGAAGTACATTAGAGCTCTACATTACATTTTATCGTACTTTACAGTAAACTGTTCTGGAAGCATATTCTACGCTAAAGTCATAAAAAGCGGACATTTATAGGCTTCCGGCCACATTCAATTGTTCGTGCATTTTGCCAAATCGCGGTTGCTTTTGGAACTTTATCTCCCCAAATATGCTGGATCGAGGGGGTTGGGAACTGACCTTATATTGATTCTTGTCTAGGCAGCACACTCGCGGAACCGAACAAAAGCGTCACCTATGGATAAGGGGTGGGGGTCAATTCCGTTCAAGGGAAGATGGTAGTCATGGCTCTTAATGGGTCTAAGAGGCTCAGTGATTCATCTCGTTTTGTCCGCGTCATTACTGAACCATGTCTGAATTTTTCAACCTTGTTTTACATGGAACTGATTCGCCAAAACAAATTGGGTGCACTTGTGATCACTTGCCGAATGACATTAATTGCTTTGATGACTCTAGACTACCTTTTGGACCCTCCTTGATGATGGTTTTCTTCATATGAATGTGTTGCACCCGAGATTCGGCTGGGTTCCAGGTGAGTGTATTAGTCGAATTTCGTACAATTTGGGTTCAAGTAGAACACATGGCTGGTGGAAACTGAGGGGATGAGCTTACCTGATGAGCTTCGAGAAGGGAGAAGCCTGTCGTGAGCTGTCGAAGAATTTTCAGCAACCATATGAGTAGTGTGTTACGTCTATGCAATGTATTGTGACATCTTGAATATGAGATGGCCTGGTGCAACACCTTCAGTTACTTAAATAACATCATAAACGAGAGATTCAGCTGGGTTCCAGGTAAGTCTCTTGTCAAAACCAAATTGGTATACAGATGAGTGTATCTGTAGAGTACCTTTCAGGTAGCTTCGCCTAATCCTTACCGGTAATTTTTCACATCCACAAATATTTCAACCCGTGGAGTTGTACAAAGTATCATAGTGCATTACTTTCCTCGCATGCTGTTGTCATCTCAGTGGTGCTTGGTACTCAGTATTAGTAACACTATCAACAGCAGTGTTCGATGTTGACTGAAAGCCAATCGGATTGGCGTGACCCGGTTAAACCGAGTCGGAGACGGACATCCTCTTCAGTTATTATTAGTTGTTGAGTAAAACCTATTTCATGCATTGTGATTGTCCTACTCACCTGATCGTTTCGTTCCTGGAGTCTACTCAGATGCTAGTCATAGTTGATCAATGCGACTGACCAAAGAACTGTTTGCACTGGTCCATTTTCTGACAAATGTTCGATCCCCCGAAAATTTGGTTTTTGTTTCCTGTCGGTATCTACCAACTTCGACCTGTCATTTTTACACGAGTACGTCCTTACATTGCTTTATATGACCTGTTGTCACAATGTTCTAGGAGACACTGGGTCCGTTTCAAAGCCAGCGTGCGAAGAGCTGCCTTGTGGCTAACGTGACATTCGCTGCTTCGGCAACATTGGTCGACCAATTCCGGGGTGTGTTATTCATCAACAAGGAGTTAATATGCCAGGATTTCAGGCATGGACAGACTGAATGACACATAGACAGTGATCCCATCAGATGACTTCGAAATCAATCGATCGTAGTAGTAAATCTGACAATATCTGAGGGAAACGCATTTGTAGTAACTCAGTAGAATGACTCATCTCTTCCGACAAGTAGAATGCCTCATCGCTTCCGATGCAAGCGCTTCACTAACCGATTCATTACATGGAGGAGTGTTTTAGAAAGATAGGAGGGGATAGTATATTAACCTAGAATACCATGTACGGTTTGTGTGCTATACACCTCACCGAAAAATGTCCTTGCAAGTGTGATGTGCTTGTATCCACGTAATCGGGTCTATTCTAGTCCAGTCTACTCCGAAAACTGTGCCCAAAATTTGGTTGACCTTTATGACTTTTGGAAAAGGTTATTTAGACCGACACTAAAAGACATTCTACGTAACCTGTATGAAAAGCTTATTTTTGAAACCAAGCAACCAAGGCGCTAGTGTAGAAACAGGCAACAAATGATATTCGGGTACTTTTGGGTTCATCCCAAATGCGAATTCATAAGCAGCGGTAGAACGGTGCAACGCTCTAACAAATGAGTTGTTGAACTTACAGAAGAATATTTTTCGTACTTTGGAGAAGAAAATCAATGTTGAAGAAATGTGATGGAAGTCTGAAGACTTCTGGTATTTGAAAGACGGATACGCTTTATGGTTAAAAAATAGGTTGAGTGATATGCTTCACGGATCTATTCCAAATATACTTCCTTCCATATTACTGTCACAAGCATTGTCGAAATACTGCCCCGCTGCTTTTCTTACCACATCATATACATGAACCAGTGTCATTTGACAGCCACCTGACCGTTCATTCTACCTGTGTATCCTCAGCTCCGCGGATGCTCCACGTGTGTCCGCCCGGCATCGTCCTCCAGATGGCATCAAATCGGCAGATATGGGTTCATCGTTTTTATGGATGGGCTGTTCGGAACAGTACAGTTCAGTCCTGGGTTAAACTATTGTCGGTCCCTCCTTCGTTGGCGCCTCCCCGTAAAATTAGGTCAGATACGCATGTCCTCTTCATTCCGTGTTCGTTTGCAGCCCTCATGAGCTGTCGGAATTGTTGTCAGATTAGCGGAAAACTAGGGTTGTTGCAGTCTAGCTGTAAGATGAACAACATGGATGGCTAAGGAGAACCATGGTAGCCACTGTTCGAGCCACCCTTCAAGCCTTTTTTGTGAGAAGGAGGCCTGTGAATGATGTTTATCATTTTGAAAGTGGGGTCACAGTAGGTGATTCTGTCGTGTGTGGATTTTTCCTCCATACCTTTTATAAGTACACTCCGATAGTCCCACAATGGGCTTGAGCAATCTATCAGTAGGCCTCGGTCTATTGACTTACAGTTTTTTGCGACCTCGGTCACTGAGTCAGCACTCAGACAAACCAGCCAGTGACCTGAGAAACACAATTTCATGAGGTAGATGTACTTCCTCTGATTCGAACGGTGTAAGATCGGTCGTAAGATGTAAGGTTTATGGGAGTGGGCAAGTTTCCAATGAAGAGTCCATACTGGGCTGAGGTGAACGTCTCCCAGAGCGCAACTGGGTTGGTGGATCAACATGATGGATAGCACGGGACACTGCTACACACAGACGAAAAATACATCGCCCTGTTACCCTAACTTCCAAGTCCCTACAGAGTGAACGTGAACGAGGGTAACTCGCTTGTTTGGTGATCTTGGTAGACGTTGCGACGTTTGGCCAGACACTTCACTCATAGAGGATATCATGTCCGAGTGGCCACAAATTGTACAATAATTAGACATTTTCGGGAGATATACGAGTTAGATTCCAATAAACCAACCAACAGAGGCCAAAGTGTAGACGAGACCTTGGCCTTTCTACAGCCCTATAGAATTATGGAATGAATGAATGACGTAGTGCTTAGGATTGTTATTCTGTTCAATGAGGAAGAGGACCAGAGGACCATCTGGAAAAGGTAACAATGGACAAACAGCATTGTTCTGTGTAGAAATTTGGCTACTAGCCGTGTTTCTGTCCCAAATACTTCGTCACAAATGGCACTGATAACTAAAATCCAGATAAGCATCGTTAAACCTACATACACCCTCACATTCAATAGAATTAAGCCAGTGAGTAGGAATCAGGCGAACCAGCTCAGCAGACCGAAAGTCTTCACCCGAGGAAAACTCTTTCAAGGGTGAATAGAACGGAGCATTGTCACATTCACTGACCGGCCTACCTAAAATGTTTCCCTCTGTTGCTCCACAACTTTTCACAGATATACCACCATCTGTCATCAGCATTCTTTTCAGCGGAATTTCCTTATGCTATATTGAACGCGGCCTTGTTGAAACCCACCACTGTATCCGATGGCCTGCCACTCAGAAATGTGTTGTCTAGTGCTGAACTGGAAGATAAAACCCCATCATCACATGCTTCTTCTTGCAGATAAAGACCGCATAAACTGTGGACTAACTGTTTGCCTCGCGATACATACACAGGTTTGACCATGGACCCAGGCAGTAGCATGCTTCATATGCTCGCAGAAGCCACTGGCAAATGTTTCCTTACTCGTCGGGTACACGAATTCATCGACATCTCCTAACTGAACATCATGCATTGTCAATCATATGGCTTAGAACGACAATTGTCACAGTTGACAGCGTACGTTGATACAGTCTCTGGGAGACTATCCTATCCCCGTAATCTCTAGCCGCACAGGCATCCCCGAGTAGATCATCAGCCCAGTCCCCATGCGGAGCCAAGTGTCTGTTACCATTAGCTCCTTTTTGACAACAAAATCAGAAAATACACCCTTCCAGATAGTCATCCCAGCGTCTTTAATGGACAGAACTCTGATAGGGTAAACCTATCTGCCTTAAGCTAGCCGACCACATTCTACGAGCGACATACAACAGGTGCAGTGACACAAACGGGCAGTAACTCTTTGAGTGTGGCCTTAGCCTAAGCCGTCGGCCCTCCTGTGTCTCTGATTTTATTGATTTGCTTTTTTCATTTTGATTTTTTGTTCATATTCGCAAGGGTAAACCGCTTGACAATGCATACACTCTCGTAGTACATGGACAAGCCACTTCACTCGATTCGATCGGTTGTCGATTGTTCCCACTTCCTGTTAGCAATTCCTCTTCACTTCTATATCACCTTGCAGACAGTCCACAACCATTTCACTCCACCAGTGATATTGAGCAAGACATTGTCACCAAAAATCCACCTGTAACAGCGCAACCAAGAAGGCTGCCACTTGAAAATTTTGAAGATCACCGAACAAACGTTTCAACGCATGCTGGACTCGGACATCATCCGCCCTTCGCACAGCTCTTGATCGCTTCCTATCCATTTGGTCCGAAAGGAAACTTCAGGTGAGTGCGGATCTTGTGGGAAGTATCAAGTCTTAAGCCCTGTTACGGTTGCTGATAAATTTCATATTCCACTTATACGTAATTTCTCTTTATGACTTCCCGGTAAAATGGTTTTCTCTAAAACTTAATTGGTCCGAGCATACCATCAGATCCCTATGACCGAAGACGACTAGTCATCAGTGCACCTTCTAGCATACACGAATTTGTTCGCAAATCTTTTGGTCTGAAGACCTCTCCCAAGTTCCCATCGATTCCTCAACCAAGTACTACGTGGTCTCCAGTTTTGATTACGCCTTCACTGATGATATTTCAGTTACCAGTAAGACAACTGACTCCACCTACGCCAGCTATAGGAAGGGTTCTAGCAGTATGTGCGTTTTCGGATGGTGTGACACTGAGCCCTTCGAACATCGTCTCGATGGTTCCTCGAACGACGGCAGAAAAGATTAGCGCTTTCTTCGAATACCCTATCTCCCAATCTACCAAAAGGCTCCGCCGTTTTTAGGGATTATATACTAGTATTATCGAATCTACATTCTACATTGCACTGACATCCTCGCTCCTCTAAATGATTTGCTCAAACAGACATCCCGATGAATCCAGTTTACTCCCCAGTTTGCAGCTGCATTTGACACTGCCAAGCAAGCCGCATCCCACGTAACTTCCTTATCTCACATGGTTCCTGGCTGCTATTCAAACCTGGTTTTGCAGATAAATGTCTCTGTCTGTCGTGGATGCAGTTCTTCATCAGTTAATCCTAACCATTTTTCCCACGTGAATCACAGTCTCCCTCATTTAGTATTTCTGGTTGATAACCCTACCATTTGCTTGACAGTTAAGTATCTAGGATGAGGAACGGTTCTAGCAGTATGTGCGTTTTCGGATGGTGTGACACTGAGCCCTTCGAACATCGTCTCGATGGTTCCTCGAACGACGGCAGAAAAGATTAGCGCTTTCTTCGAATACCCTATCTCCCAATCTACCAAAAGGCTTCGCCGTTTTTAGGGATTATATACTAGTATTATCGAATCTACATTCTACATTGCACTGACATCCTCGCTCCTCTAAATGATTTGCTCAAACAGACATCCCGATGAATCCAGTTTACTCCCCAGTTTGCAGCTGCATTTGACACTGCCAAGCAAGCCGCATCCCACGTAACTTCCTTATCTCACATGGTTCTTGGCTGCTATTCAAACCTGGTTTTGCAGATAAATGTCTCTGTCTGTCGTGGATGCAGTTCTTCATCAGTTAATCCTAACCATTTTTCCCACGTGAATCACAGTCTCCCTCATTTAGTATTTCTGGTTGATAACCCTACCATTTGCTTGACAGTTAAGTATCTAGGATGAGGAACGCATCACCTTGACAGATCACAAAAGTCTTCAATTTTACCTCCCGCGGTACCGTCACGAAAACTTGCCACCTTGAGTTCATCTCTCCATTTTTACCTCTGTTCTCAATATCGAAGGTTTTCTTGGGTGGGGGGAGCTTTGTAACATTTCTAAATATTTTGGTTATGCTACGATGTGTCAATTACATCGGATACATTCGTTTCATCTAGCTTTGGTGGCTAAGTGTTGATTGACCTTTACCTGTTGTCGCATTTGTCGACTTTATTCGCTCGCAATCACCTACTCACGGGTTTTGTAACAATCCATCGTGTACCTTTGACCATGACCATGGTTACAACGCACACAGTGACGCAAATACACGTTCGGAATAACGAATTATGCGTGTGAGTTACGCGGCCCGAGTAGAAGCGCAGAGACCTGATTTGTGTGCAAATAAGCCTCGACTTTTTCATTCGTGTCATTCGGCCATTGTTTACAGAGCGTACCCGTATCACGATGGTTGCCCTGGCAACCATGAGGTAAGCTCGAAATGTTTTCTGATCGAATCAACCCTGCTTGTGAATGCTGTGTCCTACTATCAGACATGACGGGCGTTGAGAAAAAACAAGTGTAAATGGTGACCTCAGAATTGTAAGGATGAAGATGAATTTCGGATTAACTGATTTCGCTGAACCAAGAAATGAGCACTGAAAACGGGAGATCTAGCTGGATTCAGAAGAGTCTCCTGTCAAAACAAAATCCTTGCACAAATGACAGTATGTGTCGAAGAGATGACTGACTTCGTCTGTTCACATTCTGAACAACCAGTAGAACAGTCTCCCCTTTTTGAGACTCCCTGGGGATTTCATTGGTGCATAAATCTAGTTAGGATAATTGGACCTCAGAATCCTGAATCTTCATTCTGCTGCACTGTAGCTTACTTCTGTTTCCCTCTAGTAAATCGAACAGTCGAACAGTTCGGCATCAGCAAACAGCACACGTTTTGCACGGCTTCAGACAGTTCCATCAGTTTGATTTACATGCAGCGGCAACATTACTACATAGTCTCCATGCCTCTATGGGATGCGTGCGAACATTCCGTCGAAGGTATTGACGAAACATCTTGTGTGAACATCTAGACAGCAAACAAATTCTTTCAGCAAACCCATTGTGTTTATGCACCAAACGGAAATGACTAATGGAATTGGTTTGTAGAGAGAGCACGTATAATCTGGCGGTCTACATCTCCGCACAATGGTGTGTTAGAGGCACCCATTCTCTCAGGAACGAATCTCCAGTAACGAAACGTCTCTAAGGCCAAGCCAAATAGTTTGGTCGCAATTTTTTATTTCTGAGATGCTATGGTAGAAGTGATGGTTTGGAGGGGCTTGGCTTCAAGTTATTTCGGTGGCTTAGGAAGACCACCGCTGGGAAGTTGGACGGACAAGGTATTTCAAGAATGAGCAATCAACTATAGTTCCTTTGAAATCAGGTTGGCTTCTTTAACACAAGTCATTCAAAAGCTGTGCTGTGATCGATACCGTGCTATGGAAGAGGTAGGGTAGAAACATTTATGGTCTCAGGTCATAAGCTTCGAATTCACTGAACCTCGATAAGTAGTCTCATCAAGTTGAGAATAGTACGCTGCCCAATGCAGGTATCGCTCAACTTGCAAAGAAAAAAAGCCCCGAGCTGACTAACCCTGGCCCCGGGCGAAACCGGTCGTGGGCTGTCGAAGAGGCCTTAGCAACCATATAAATAGTTTCCTTCATGAGAATATACTGCGATATCTCGAATATCGTACTAACTGAAACACGAGGCGGCCTTTGTGCGGCACATTCAGTTGAAGAATAACATAAAACTAGAGAATGAGTTGAGCGTCTCGTGAAAACAAAACTGATTTGCAAATGAGTATATTTGTCGAAATAAGTACAATTTGGGTTTAAGTAGAACATAAGGTTGATGGAAACTCTGTGACAGCGCCTACGTGATGAGTCCCAAGAAGGTCGAAACCGGTCGTGGGCTGTCGAAGAGTTTTCAGCAAACTGGTGAGTAGTTTCCTTTGTAAAAACTCTGGCTCATGTTTGCGCGCCCATGCAGGTCGTAAAATCCAACTTTTATTTTTGGGTTTGCTAGACCGTTATATGATGGATCCATCTTCTAAAGTAAACAACTTCATACGGTAGAAAATGACCCAACTGTTCCGCCAGTGTTGGCTGACACGGTGGTAGTGTAACGGTGATACTACTGATGGGGAGGCACATGAGTAGTATGTGTTGTTCGTGGAATTTCGCTTTGCGTCTTTTGAGAAGGGAGAGATCTGTCGAGGAATTCGTGGAGTCACTTTGTAACATTTGCTCGGATTTGGGCTAGGAATGATTGGAGTGAATGAATCTCCAGGAAATTCAAGAAGCCGCGTTCGGGAGATGATTGTCCAGTTTTTGTAAATAAGATGCAAATTAGAGTTTTGCTTCCCTGTTCAATGGTTTGTAACCGGTCGGTTGACATCTCATAATAAATAACTCCGCAGCGAAAACCTTCTTCCTTTCAGTAGTAAGTGCATTGGCTATGAAAAGGGTTGCCCTACGGAGAGTGTGAGCGAATACCAGGGAGCCAATGCTATCCATTAGAGTCCGGTCCCGATGGCATTTATCCCTGGGAGGGATTATCGCATTTAACACCTAAAACCGGAAGCCGTTCTGCGGATGTATACCGACTGCAGCTATTCTGTCCTGACCACTTTGGTCAAGACCAAGACACTTTTGGTGGGGATAGCATCTACTGTCCGGCTTGCGGTACGAGCATATGGAAAACTACAGAGTTTTTGTAACACGATTGCCTTTAGGCACGCAAATACCCCTGATTATATTGTCTCATAGGCTAGGTTACTGTTCTTCACACATGGCCGATCTGGTTTTGGTGAGTTTTATTCAGATTAGTTGACTGATCATTGATAGCCTGCCGTCAGCTAGTCGTGTCCGACTGTTGCTTTTTTCTAACCCGTCTAGTGTGTGCATTGTTTATGCGTGGATCCATCTGCGTGTCGGAGTCGGTGCAACACAATCGTAGCTATGGCAACACAGGTGTTGTGCGAATTAGCTACAAGACAGTTTCATTCAAACTGTGCCTTTCGTCCGCCCGACCGATGATCGATAATTGGTGCGGTTGGTGTAATAGAAATAAAAGACCGACGCAGCTGTTAACAATGTCATTCTCGCTGTTGTGTGATGTCCAGGGTTGGGTGACAGCCGGATTGGAGTCAGTCGTGGGACGGTACAACACTGGCTACCCTACTTTTTGTCGGACAGTTTCCATAATGATTATGGCACAACAGTACGATTGGGTTTGCAGGTTGCAGAAACATATCCCCAGTAGGAAAGTGAAGTATTTTTACTGGGATTTGATCATTCAACCAAAGCCGTCTATGACGAAAAGCGTAGAGAAACTGCCAAACAGAATAATAAACCGTGGATAACTCGAGAAAACTCCGAGTGATTTGAATTTGCGACCTGTTTGTTAGTAGTTTAGCCCTATGCCATTCAGACATAGTATCTGATCAACAGCGTGATCGAATTGAACTGAGAATGTAGCGCTACTATCTTTCACCCCCTGATTTCAACTCATATGATGCAATGTTGATTCACTCTTCGAGTGACGACTGCCCAGTTGAAGGGCTCATACAAATTGTGACATGTTTCCTGTCTGTGCAAATTAATCTAGGCAATAGGTAGCGGGAAACTCCCCACAATTCAACAGAAATTTCATCCTGCATGTACAGCAGTTCGTGCGTCATTAGCTGCACGCACCTGACGAACCTCTTGAACGATTTTATCTGTACTAACTGAAGGGACTCTGGTTCGAGTCAACCTGAAGTTTGATCATATGAGCAATGGCGGTGATCTTCAATAAAGACGAAACCGTTTCTCAGTACTTCTTCAAGTACTTCTTCAAGGAATCATCGCCCTACTCGAAATATGCCATATTGGCTTACGCGTCCAGTTTCAATAAATTGCCCTGCTTACTTTAAGCAATAACTTTCTGCACGTAGAACACGGTCTAATTTATATGCGAACTTTAACAAATCCGAGTAACTGGGTTGTTTGTTTTGTTTTTGAATTGATGAGAAACGTAATAAGTGGATAGGGTTTTTGTTTTGACGGATGTGCAAGATACCAAACTATTTGACAAGTGGCGAGTTTCGATCAGCCTTCGCTCTGTTCATTACAAGCTGTTTCTTCACTATGTCCTTTGGTAAACTTTCTGAAATGCCCGGTCCAGCTTCCGGATGGGTGCGTACAAGCTACTAAACCATAATTTATTAGTTCATATGTGCACCAACCCGTCACATGCTGCGTGTCAAGCGCTGTGGCACCACACTGCATCTTCTGTGTTGGACGAACTAAAAAAAATACGCAAAATAGTAGTGAGAAACCACCTGGGAATTTGACTGAAATTAAGGCTGGGGGTTGACAGATGCAGACCTCTTCTTCATGCTCATGCTCACGTCACCCTCATCAGAACAGTCGCTCTTCTGTCCTGATGCTCACGTCACCCTCATCAGAACAGTCGCCCTTCTGTCCTGGCCTAATTATTCTGGTGAGTCCATACCAGAGGGGGAAGCACGGGGCTTAAGTTTCGCTCTTGTTAGAACTAATCGGCAGTGCAGATCCTTGAACAAGCCCGGGTTTGACTTTCGGGCATCTAACGTGCGAGACTAGGGTGTTGACACTACTCCACGCACGCTGGACGTCCGAATTCCCACGTCTGAAAAGGCGAACTTGTTCATAATTTGGTGTGAATCAACCAGAATAATTGTCAGGCAGGAGGACAAGTATTAGAACGACAGTGGTGCGAGCATGAACTTTTCAATTCATGTTGGGTTTCGGCATGGATAGATTGCCGTATTGTGAGTGTTGTCGTCAAGTGAGATTTCATGGAACCTTTTGCAGGTTGGCTCGGATATTAACCTCTTAGGTTGGCCAGACTCCCAGAAAATACTGTCATTGTATCTTTTGCTTAAGTTGGTCAACAATTATAGGGATGATCCAAGTCCTGGTCACCTTCAGCGATGCTGGTTGTTTATCATGGGAGCATGCCAGGGACAATGACGCTTTGATGTGACCAATTATCAGGCGGCTGACTTGTGTGCGTTGATCATAGCTCCAGTTGCCCAATAGTTTACTTGGCTGTTTCCCCTCATTCAGTTTCACAGACTTCGAAGTTAATCACCATCAGATGTGGCGCCGTGCCAACTTATGGTTGGAACAGCGACAACAACAACAACCAAGTTCTGGACTTTGTCGGACGGAATACGGGTAGCTTGGGCGCGCTGCTTGGTTGTTGGTCTGTTCACGTAGCCTGGCGGCTGGATTGCATACGATTCATCCCAGCCGAGGTGACATCATCATTATGGGGCTGAGTTGGTCGGACGCTTTTCTATCACCCAACGGCTAAGTTCAGGTTCATACTCTGGGCGACTACCACATACAGATGATTTTAGTGCGCAGAGTTTCTCTCGAAGTTTTGGTGCTTACTATATGGTTACCTGGCATTGGCATCGTTTGGCACCTACAGTCTACAGCCAGCTTACCAATAAGAAGATTGTTGAGTAGTTGTGTCGTTGAATAATCTGCTAAGGGATGCATTGGGTTGCAGACAAATCGACCTATCAAAAGGGAAGTAACGCGGCTTAGAATATTCACCATGAAACTCGGACAAATACCAAGTTTCATCATGACACAGGCCCGTACTGCAGCTTACCCAAAGGGTTACGTCGGTAGAGGTCGGATACGCCTACCATATTATAGTGAGCAGGAAAACGGGGAGACAAACACGACACACGCCCCATCACCAAACTAGGTGAAATCATCGGTGCACCATTGCACTGATGATGCACTATTCTAATATATACTGTCTAGTTTGGTGTTAAATACCACGATGCAAACCCTGGGTAAATTACTGAATCATGAAAACCAACACACATGAGTTGAAAATCCAGGAAATTCAATGTTTGAGCAGAGGATATTCAAAGCCCGCTGGATCAGCTCAGAAGTGGACCCAACCAAGTTTACGCGTCTTCCAGCTTAATTTTTATCATCGACTGAAGAATCACTGAACGTGACTTTTATTCCTAACAACACACGTGGCTATGTTTGCTTTACACTACATATCTTGATATGACCCCTCTCGGGAAAGTGTCATGAGACAATATCAAGTAGGGTAGAAATGATTTACTTAAAACCTATTTTGGCATGCATGAAAGACCGTGATTTAAACCTTGGTGTTGGCTCTTGTGAACAAAGCGCCAAAAGACATGGTAGTAATACAGTAAGATACTCAAATTCAAAGGCTGTGGAATTCACTTGACTTCGCCAGTGGGGTCTTGACCTTCACTGTCCTACTGTCCATTGATTGGAGACAGAATGCTGGCGATGCGGTTTACGGTTACGATAACATAATTTTGAAAAGTGGTGACCCCAGTCCCTTCTGAGCTAACCGGACGAAGTACAAGCTCATGACTCCGCTTGCATACAGCCTGCAGACGAAGGAAAACAGGCACCAACATGATCAACCTTCAATCAAGCTTCCCGGGACGGCAAGGACCTTGAACAGAGTCATGCATGATCACGTCCAGTTTTGGCCACGGCAAGATGCACCTATTTTTGGACCGATTTTTATTTGATGATTTGAGCCTGTACCAATTACGATACTTCCTATCCGTTCAGTCCTCTGTAAACTTCATTCGAACTGGATTGTGGACTTTCGGTTGAAATAGATTTGCTGACCGAAATCTGGATAATGAGCTGACTATGTACTTAGGTTGGTTGACAGTGGAGTGCATGCATATATGCATTCCGCGCTTGTGGCGAGAGTACGAATGGATTGCGAGGGTTAGTTTTCACAAATTCACTCATTCCAACCCCCATCCTCAAAATAGGTCTTGAATTTGAGCTGTGTACTTTCTAATTATCAAGCCTGAATGGTATATGTACCGTGAGGCTTTGGTATACATCCTGCTATACGATATGAGTGATATGCTCACACAACAGAACCGTAGAGTGCGCACGATGGGAGAATTCCTCTTTCAGGGAAAGAAACGATTTGGGAAAATGCACTCGTTTGGCCTCGATTCCAGGATGGTTGTGGTGTCTGTCTCAGAGTGTTTACGAAACTAAGAAACAAACGGTCAGTGGATCTCAAAAACGAAAATGTTGATTTTGAATAGGACTGCATTTTGTAGCTTTGTAGCGTCATTTTCTTCAACTGTTTGTTATCGTATAGCTGTTTATGATTGTATATCATAGCGAACGACAATCATGGACATGACTAGTGAACTGATGGGTTCTTCTTGTCGGGAAGGGGATAATCCTATGGGACCAACTGGATTGTTGGCTATAAATTACTAGAGCATTCTTGTCCTTTGACGATGTTTTCCACCGTCGCCCCTGAACGAGACTCCGGCTATTTGTCTTGTGTGAGTAGTATGTGAAACTACTGCTGGTGAAGCTGCTTTTTCGTTTTCTCATTTGCTACGGTGAGCCACACCATTATGTTCACGTTCGTAAATCTTATAAGCCTGCTGACTGTTCAACTGATACAGTTTGGATACAGTGTCTGTTTAGATTTTGTTCCCGAGTGAGTTGGAGGGTGAGTGTGCAGTCCATTTTTTTGCAGCACAAAGTTCAACTAAAACGCCAGAGTTTCACTACCTACAAAATATCAGTAACCTATGGCAGCTTGTTTAGGAAGAAATTTACACAACTCGCATGAACACTCTGGCTGCGAAGTATCACTTTGGAAGCACGTGGATTAAATTGCATTAGCTCTTACGTGCAATGTATTCAAAGTGTTTAGCAGCCAATCCTGATCGAGTGATCGTGTCTTCATATCGTGACGCAACTAAAATTGTCCTTCGTCATGGGGACCACCCTGGTACCGTAGAGACCTAAAACCGTGGGATGTAGGTTCATTTTCCGAGGACCAAGATCTCAACTAAATTTCGAATTCCACACAAAAAATTTAAAGACGGTTGAAAAAAGTGCCAAATTTCCGAAGATGCATGCTGTGTGCTTCCGTATATCCTATTTAACTCCGTTTATTTGGTCTCGTTTGTGATACAATTTTTGCGTACTAAACATAAGATACTACTAGGAACTGAAGTGCATAAGTTTTTCGCGAAATTCAAGGACCAAGGCACGCATTGTGCGATTGTTTCCGTGTTTTTTCTTGACACTATCTGTCTCGGCACTCTTTCAGCTGTCTTATTGGCCATCCTCAGGTTTAGCTGCACGTAAAAATATCTTCGACCTTCTTATCAGTGCTGACATATTGGTCAGTTGTCATACCAGATTCACCGGTCGGATGATTATCCCATGCCCAGTTCATAAATGTCATTTGTATTTATAATAAAGAGAGACAGCTTTATAATCAGTCTGAAAATGGGGTCATTAGCTTATGCCGATGTAGGATTTGCCTGTAATAAGCTTAGAAAAAGTGGACTAAAACTACGGGTTGCCATGGAGTGGGATTCGGAGGCGAAATGGCCCATTGTACGTTTAGCACTGGGACTTGGGGGGATTGGAACGCACGGCGTCCATAAAAGTGCTCTCAGTGGAAAATGAACAAAACGTTCTGTGGTTTTATTACATTCCGAGGTTACCTTAACCCTTCCAGTGATGAAGTTTAACAGCTTTACATTAGTTCGGAGGTGTCCCATGATCTCTTTTCAACTGAGCTAAGCGAGCTTCATTTCACATCTGAAGGACAGAAATACAACTTACTCGTCCCAGGACGGGCTATTTAGCTGGTTGCCAACCGAGCAACCAAATCTTTATCAGGTGAGCCCATCCAACAGAATAAGCCATAGTATTCTCTAAAAAACAGGCTAACTAGCCCATGCTTCAAAGTACATCTCTTTTGTTTTATTACACACAGGTTACCAGACCAGTTGTCAGTACGGGAAATCTAATTTTCAAACTCGTTAGGTTGTATCAGGAATGCATGTCGAAGGTGACCAATAGAACTAAACACGACCTTTATACATCCTGGCTGATTGCCGCTAAACAGTAAGCAATTCCAAATGCAGAGAGTTCGCATTTCCTGTTTTTTTTTAATAAAAAAATGATCCCCAATGAGAAGTAGCAGAGCCAGGTTTTCCAAAGGCCTTTCGGCTTCTCTCCAACTTTGCCCATCAATTACTTTGAGTTGGAATGAAGTGTTCCATCTAGGAGGAGGGTTTGGTACTCGGGGAAACAATCTGAGGAAAGAAGTAGTGATAGTTTTTTCATGAGATTCATTTAGTTCTTCAGTTTAGTCAATCTGTTCTGCCTAATTTGGTGAATCGGTTTGGTATCTATTTGTTTAAAGTCGAAAAACTCCTAAATTTATTGGTGGGTCATACGGGATCAGATTCTGCTTTCCACTTGGTGCTGTAGAATTTCTTCGTCCGATTATTTCTGAAGAAAAAAAGCAGCTAGCAAATACAGGCCAAATTCGGGGACTATAAGACCAAGATAACAAGAGAGAGCGGGTTGGTTTGCAGGGAAGTGGACAGAGTATTTACGTTTCTATCTTATACTCTGCGTGAACCACGCAAAGACATCACAGTTGTGTATCATGATGAACCTTGGGTTATTTCAACCAGGTCAAGATTCAGGCACGGTCATCATTAACAATAAGGATCATTTAACGACGCTGGCTCTGATTCTCAAAGACCGAAAAAACTTTAAGCACAACAATGACTCTGAAAGTGTTTGTTCATAGCCACACCACTCTCGTTTGAACGGCCGTGTTCCTGTTCTGACGTAATTATTCCGGTGAGTACACACCAAAGGGAAGCACTGGACTCGAGTTTCGCTTTTATTGGAGCTCATCAGCAGTGCTTATCCAATGGGCGCGCCGGGATTTGAACTCCGGACATCTGACATGCGAGGCGACCGTGTAACCACTACTCCACCAACGCACGTTGGATGCATCTGAACGTGTTCACACTTGAGCGATGTGATTGGTATGCCCGGCTCATCGAACGACGACCCAGTAAGTGTCCTGGTTGTGATGATCGATTGACCCGCCTGTCAGGACTTCCCAGTTAGGTAGCGTGGCACACGCTTGAAACCCACCGGGCAGATTTTTGGTTGCAATTTTGGGGTTTTGCGGGATAGGTATGTTTGTTCATAGCCACACCACTCTCGTTTGAACGGCCGTGTTCCTGTTCTGGCATAATTATTCCGGTAAGTCCACACCACACACTGAAAATCACACTTAGGTTTAGAAGCTTCTGGAATTGCGTCACACCGAAAATACGTAGAGCTGAGTGGACC